CACACTTAGACAACTCCTATTTTGAAATAACTTTCAATTTAGAATAAACCCCATACATAAAGGATATTAAAAACTCTTAAGACAGCTGTCAAAACACCTGGTAATATTTCTTGCTACAAATACCACAATGTCATACTAATGTTACATTGTATATAGGATCATTCACACGGAGAGCATCACAACGTTTTACAATTTGTAATTCATGGAAGCGCAAAGACCCACATACAAGCGGGAAGGCAGCTCAGCTGTGTGCCGGCACCCAGCCCCAGCCTGCAAAGGTGCCACCTCGGCCGGCTGGGCAATCTAGGCAAGGCCGGGGGCTCCGCATGGGACTAGGCCTCACCACTACACTCTGTGAAGTAAGTACTATTATAAAGTCGATAGATACTCTTATAAAAGTCGGTATATACGACTAAAGAGTAGGTAAGATACTACTGTAGCGTTTGTAGTTACTGCTACTGCAGAGCGGGCTTTGGGGGGTGGGGGTGGTATAGCAGCCCAGCCCCAGCCTGCAAAGATGCCACCTTGGCCGGCTGGGCAATCTAGGCAATGCCGGGGGCTCTCCACGGGACTAGGCCTCACAACGGCACTTTGTATACTTACTAGACACTATTATAGAGTCGATATATACAATTATAGAGTCGGAAGATACTATAGAGTCGGTAGATACTACTGTAAAGTCGGGAGATACTAATGCAATCGGTAGATGCTACTGTAGAGTCAGTAGATACAGCTATAGAGTAAGCAGATACTACTATAGTCAGCTGATACCACTATAGAGTCAGCAGATACTGATATAGAATTAGTAGTTACGACTATAGTCAGTAGATACTACTATAGTCAATAGATACGACTATAGATTTAGTAGATACTACTGTAGTCAGTAGTTACTACTAGTCAGTAGATACCGCTATAATCAGCAGATACTGCTATAGAGTTTGCAGATACTACTACAGAGTGATCAGACACTGCTATAGAGTTAGTTACTATAGTCAATGAATACTACTATAGTCAGTAGATATTACTATATAGTCAGTAGATACAACTGTCAGTAGATACTACTACGGTTAGTAAATACTAGTCAGTAGATACTACTATAGTCAGTAGATAATACTGTATAGTTAGTAGATACTACTACGGTTAGTAAATACTACTAATCAGTAGATACTACTATAGAGTCAGTAGATACTGTAGAGTTAGTAGTCACTACTATAGCCAGTAGATACTACTATCGTCAGAAGTTACTACTATATAGTCGGTAGATGCTACTATAGAGTCAGTAGTTACTGCTATAGAGTCGGTAGATACTAACGTAGAGTCGTTATATACTACTATAGCCAGTAGATAATACTACAGTCAGTATATACTGGTGCAGTCAGTAGTAACGACTGTAGAGTCAGTAGATACTGCTATAGAGTCAATAGATACTACTATAGATTCAGTACGTACTAATGTCATTAGATATACTGCAGAGTCAGTAGTTACTACTATAGAGTCGGTAGATACTACTGCAGGGTCAGTAGTTACTACTATAGTCAGTAGATACTACTATACCACCAGTAGCTACTTCTGTACAGTCAGTAGATACAACTAGAGTCAGCAGATATTACTCTAGTCAGTAGATACTATAGAGCCAGATACTACTGTAGAGTCAGATACTATAATAGTCACTAAATACTACTCACCCTATTGTATGTAGAGTGTGTAGGTATATATGCCTACGCGGAGGTAAAGATTTTTTGATGGAGGGAGACAATTTTCGGAAACCTTTTAGATCAAATATTTACCCCCGACTTTCTATAACTTTTTGGACTTCTGCAAGCCTCTTATTATTTTGTTGACGGACAAATGGACAGACAAACCGCACGCCGGGCCTTCACAATAGCTTAGTATTTGTGTATGTATATGTTATGTTTTTAAGATAAGTTTTGAAATATATTTTTCCCCTGGGCAATGTCGGGTACTTCCCGCTAGTTATGTACATATAGCGCATCAGATTCCTCCAGTATAAACGATTCTAATATATAAACCAATGATACTTTTTTCTAGAATCCACAAGACAGTGTAATTACTTATACTGTGTATCTGTATAAATCACTCCCCCCCCCCTAGACGGACATGTACTTTGTGAACAGATTTTTTCATTCATTCATTCAGTCAAACCATGGCGTACTGTTGACAATCTGAATCCACGAGTCGTGTTCCTGCCGAGGCTTGGTCAGCAACAACTGCTCAATTCCACTGGTCACGGCCTGTTGTATCGTTTCCAGGTTTCCTTTCATCTGCTCGTATATCTCGGGCAACAGTTCAAGTAAACCTGACATCTTCCGAAATGTTCTGCAAAACACAAAGCCACTCTTTTCAGCAAAGACGATTTATCTTTTGTTTTAAAAATCCCCACAATCCAACCCAACATTTTTGTTTGTGGAACAACAGGCAACGTCGTTGTATTTCTGAAAATTACTTAAAAGGTTTAGAGGCGTCTGCAGTGCACATTTAATAATAATGCAGATAAGCCCCACGGAGGCCAATGGCAATCACAACGAAATCAGAACATTAATTCATAGTGGAGGAATCCTTATCCACAGATGTCCAGTAAGTTCACAGATGCCCAAGTTAGTGGGACATGATTAATCTGTTTATCACTTAGGAGAGATGGGCCTCACGTAGGCCGATGGGTGATCTCAACTTTAAATGCTAGTTTATACATTTCTATAGCATCACGTTGGTCAGTGTGGGTTAATAACGGAAATCAACAAAACTCAAGGCATGTATGTTTAACTTCTTTCGCACCGTACGTAGGTAGCCGGGTTTCATAGTGCATTGCGCAAGTCAACACCGCGATGGGTAATGTAAAAGTTTAAGGCACGCTTTGTTACTTGTTGAACAGACAATTATTTCGAGTTTAACAAACAACACCACTGGCAAGGGGTGGTGACATTCTGAATCCCTATAGCGGTGTAAGTCGATAATACACTGCATATAAATCACTTCGGACTTCCGAGTTAACAACCCCAGAGAGATGGATGGGTTGTTTTTTTTTAAAGTTGATAACTGCATTAAAGAAACCAGGGGTCTTAACACGGTGCCAATTATTCGCAATCACAACTTACCTCTCGCACACCAAACCGCACTGATCCAAGCAAGAAACAACAATACAATACAACACATTCGCCACGAACCCCGCATAGGGCAACCAAATAGCAATGAGACGTTTCGGACAATGGCCCTTTCTTCATTGCACACAATCGCGCATTGTGGCGTTGTCATGAGCCATCCATCCATCAGCAGCAGATTGACAACGTCTTGTACATTAGTTCTTTTGGTAAAGTCACGTTGAAGGGAAACAATACAATATATATAAAACAATACAAATTCTCACGTTTCGACCACAACACAAACGGTCGTCATTCACATCACCTGATGACGACCGTTTGTGTTATGGTCGAAACGTCGTGAGAATTTTTATTGTTTTATATATATTTTATTATTTCCCTTCAACGTGACTTTACCGAAAGAACTAAGATTATGAATTACTGCAGTCACGAAAGCTTTAAATCAAAATAAAAGTCTTGTACATTTGCAATCACCTTCATCATCGTCAGCCATAGTTTATAGTTCATAGTTTATTTATTTGGTGTCTATCCACCGTCGCAAACCCCTCACGGTCTGCTACGGCGGTCTCGGCGTGACCATACTTCACCACGCTGGTCATTTCAGCGTTGCGGGCCTAACAGGTTGACACGACCGCACACGCGGCACGCCACTTACCTTCCTTGGCGGAGTCTTCTGGCGAGCGATCCTGACAAGAACAAATCTAGCTCGTTTACCGTCAACTACTACTATATCGCAATGTTAATATTATGAATTTTGTTGCTGTTAACTCGCGGTTAAGTTTAAACGTGCGAGAAGCGGCGAGAAGCGACGCGAAGCGAAGGCCGAACGCCCTCCCAACGTGAAACGAAAAAAAAACACAAATTTGAATTCGGACCGTTACCGCCTCAACCAATCGCGGACCTGAAAAGTTACCAGATACATGACGTCACTCGCACTCGGACGTTGCGCGTGAAGTCATATTTAATGGACCCGCCTGCCTGCCACACACATCGTGACGTCATGTATTCAACATATTCCACAAATTTGTTTGATGCTGCTGCATTGGTAGCGGTCCGCGCGCACGCGCACACACACACGCACAAAGAAAGAAAATCTATAACACTGTGGCCCTAAAAGTACAAATATATTATTGGCAACGCTTCGGGCAATCGCCCTTCTGCATAGCACATACCTAGGCCAGAGTAGGTAACGAGAGTTGGGAGGACAACACTTTAAACACCGTGGGCCCTGTTGAGTAAGCCAGGGCTGAACCTATTGGGTTAAGTCTTCAACATTTAAATGTTCATGATCAGCCATGATCAATCCACTGCTGGATGAAGGCCTCCCCATGCCGTCACCATATATCATGTAGCAATCCATGGAGCTCCTGCACGCGAGCTGATTTCAGTAGTCTCCCAAGTGCACATCTGCTTGCGAAATCCACCTGCTGGTTAAATGGGCTTCGGTGGCAGTACGTGAAGTCTCATAGCTTTTTAGTAAAAATTTGTATTTCTTGTTAATACATTTTCTTTAGTTTCATTACATATGCAATACCCGAAACAAGATAATTGAAAGCTTTCATAGGGGTTTCCCTGGAATGCTTTTAATATACGTGACACGTAACACAATGCCAACACACACGATGCTCAACTCCGCTAGCCCAACGGCAGGCATGGAAATACATAATAAAGTAAATTAATAAAGTATTTTGTGTAAAGTATTTTGTATTCATTTTTGTTTTTCATGATAAACAATCAACATAGATACATTATAGAGAGCAGAGTTATCCCTGACTTTTATATAGCAAATTTACAAAAAAATACATGGAGCATGGCAGTGACCCCAGGACTTAAACTGCAGCACCTGGATCTCGCACGTACACATCAGTCAATATTTCTTTCACGTGGGTTGACAACAGTTCTTTTTATTGAACTAAGCAAGTGACATGTTGCACGTCTTTCTTTCCGTGTTGATCCAGTGCGGTCACAACTGCTTCAAAGGCAGCCCAGGTGAAATCGTGAGCTCATTATGAATCTTGTTCTCAGCAGGTCCACTTGATATCAGCACCTGGGCCACACTTGGTGCCAGGTTGAGCCAATAAGGCTGCCATGAGAACCCGGTCCGGGCCCAGGAACTCTGTTCGTGAATCATGCCGGGTTGCTCCCCCCTATTAGTCGTGCTAACGCAGCGACAGGGATCCACCGATGAAGAATTAGAATTCGAGAAACACCAATATTAGCTCTCTCTGGCCTGTGTTCCAAGGTGAGCGTTCTTCTCTTTGGATAATGGATCCTTCTCTCCAGGGAAAGAACCCTTGTCTTCAGTAGGTGGTGCAGACCTCAGTGCCGTGGCCTCATACACCCACACCGTGTCGATGCCCTCACCCTCCACTCGGACTGGGGCCCAGCTCGGGAACGGGAAACGGCAGGCAATGACCTCGGCCTCCTGCTTCAATTCCTTCTCCAGCTTCTCCTCCAGCTGAGACATCTGGGTACGGAGAGATTGAGGGTTATCACGTGGCCATTATTCCCCTGGGCTATCTGGTCACTCCTCCAAAATTGTATTTTCATAACAGTATTTATCACCTTCGTTGGTTCTTTCGGTAAAGTCACGTAGAATGAGAATAAAATAATAAAATAACACATCAATTCTGGAAAATCAACAAATGACAAGTCGTGCTGAACTAGTAACCCAAGTACTGTTGGAACTTACCATTTGAGGCACCCCAAATATCACCACATTGTTGAACTCAGAAAAGTTCACCTGCAAGAAATGAACAAGAGGTCACAAATGAACCAGTCAATGCAAGTAGGCAGTGTGACTTGCATGAACTTAAAAGGAATATTATCGAACGCTAAATGATAAGTGACTGAACAAGTAAACTTGAAAATCTTGAAACTTGAATGGCAAGTTTTGCATGTAACATTACACTAATGTGCAAATCGTAATTTTATTGGTATAGAGTAGCAATTCTAAAATATCACCTTGTATGTGCTATCCATATACAAGAACTTACATGGATGCTCCCGAAATGCTGCATACTGACAGTTTTACCCATTAAACACACGAGTTACATATGACAATTAAATTCAACGTAATAATAATACGCTAAGCTATTGTGTTGCACGGCTTCAGTTCACATGACAGGATAAAATTATGCAGGAGTGGTCACATGATCCTCGGAACCCATGTAGGGAAGTTCAGTCATTTATACCACTACAGTACAGTATTTCGTTTTTGATTCATTTGGAATAAAAAGTGGACGTTTTTTGAAAGGATACAATATTCCTGAAATATTCCGAGAAATGTGGATGTGTGTGTAACACATACTCCAGAAGTTATCATAAGAGTAAAATATTTGTCAAAATTGCTCATGACCGCTGGATAATGTAGCTTTCCACCCATGAAAATACAGTTTACTTACATTGTGTAAAATTAATTTGCAGGGTAAATTTCTCAAAGACCCAAATCCTTATCGAATACACTGTAAATCTTGACTTAAAAGTTTCGTGACTGCAGGAATTAATATTCTTTGGGTCTTATGGTAAAGTCATGTAGATAGAAAAATGTTTAAAATATATATTTTATTTTTCGATTTAAAGCTTTCGTGACTGCAATGATTCATCTTCTTTGGTTCTTTCGGTAAAGTCACGTAGAATGAGAATAAAATAATAAAGTGATAAAATAAAATATTTAAAATAAAATATTTATTTTATCAATTTTATTTAATTTATTATTTTATTCTCATTCTACGTGACTTTACCGAAAGGACCAAAGAAGATACATTTTATTATTTTTTCTATCTACGTGACTTCACCGAAAGACCCAAAGAATATAAATACACTGTAGATAGCACATTATTTTGCTTTGGGAACTCCTCTTAGGTAGGACTTGCTCTCTTCACAATTTAAACAGAGGAATTATCTAGTGACAGTAAGGAAATGTTGTAGGAGATAATTCTCAAGGCAGTTAATACAGAAATGTTTGGCTGAGCATGCTCACATCTCTGCTTTGCCATGCGCACCTTCCATAGGTCGACCGTGCGGAAGGATGCCGAACCCTTGAGTCCCAATCGCCAAGCGCCGAGCCGTGAGTACAAAACCAGCCATGGGTTCAGCTCCACTCCCACCGCATTAAACCCATGGCGCGCTGCCGCCAACACCTGCAAAATCAAATACAAAGATCCCCCTGTAATAGCCTTTTAGATGTTGGGGCAAACTCTGTTAGCGAGCCCCTATGAAGGCCGGCAAGGCACACGAGGGGGTGGTTAGTCATCACCACTCCCAGCTGCATTCGTCTTCCAAATACTGATAATTACACACTGCAGCAGGTACTCATTAAGGCTGAGTCGACCGAGGAACGGCCCAGGACTGCTTCGAATATTCGCCAATATTTTTGGTTGTGTATGCAGGAATCCAACTTGAGTTGCCAGGTTTGTAGCGGAGTGTGCTAACCACTGGGTCACCGCTCCCCAAAGGACCTAGACAAGCACATGCATAAAACCTGAGATAAAACAATTGCAACCACACAAAGTTATTAACACGAGGCAAGTCACGACGCATTGACTCATCATCAATGGTATGTGAATCAGAATCTTTATTTATCCTGGAGAAATCCGATGAGCTATGAAGCTCTTTTTCACATGTCAAGTATATTCGAATCATATGCGTAATTCGTTCAAGATTACGTCAAGACCAAAGGGAGTGAATGTGCCTTAGACCACATCCACCGTGGAGCTGGAGCGATGACATCAGCTCATGTCCAGGTGCAAGGTGGATAATTATATTAAGGGGGAAATGAGAGATAGCAACAGCTTGGGAAAGCCTTCTTCCAGGAGTGGATTGATCATAGCTGACGATGACAAAATACATCAGAATGCACACTTAATAGTCACATTTCAAGCCAACTCTTAATGGCGGACGAAATAAACTAAAACAAATGACAGACATAAAAATGCTAATTGGCTTTTTCCCCAATGTCAGCCTATGCGAATTCCGTTTAGCCCATTGTCGTCTTTGGGAATTCGTTTTTCCCAATGCTAAACTATAGGAATTCCATTTTCCCAATGTGATCCCTACTGGCATTTGTTTTTCAATGACAGCCTATGGGCATTCTGTTTCCCCCCATGTTAGCCTATCGTATGTACTGTATGTATGTTGAACTTCTTTCGCACCGTACGTAGCCAACCACGCAAATCGGAGGTTCATTGCGGTTTGTCTGTCGGTTGATTTAAGTCCTGTCCTCCTAACGATTGAACCCGCGTCTCACTCACGATCCTTGCGAAAGACCGAACACAGAAGATTCGCGGGTTTGATCTTCCACGAAACTCATGGGCCACCCTAAATCGCATCCGCACAAACCATGGTAGATGCGGATACCTGATGCACAAATGGAAAATTAAAAAAATACTCTCTAGTGTACGACTGTGGTCATCCAGAACAGATCGTACAACATCTAATGCAATGCTCGATCCACAAATATGAAGGAGGCATCACAGCAATACACTCCGCTGCTCCTAATGCGATTATCTGGCTTGACCAACTTGAATGTGGTATTGTAGTTGGTGGAGAGCGGTAGGGCAGTAGTTAGCGCGCTGCACTACACACCCGGCTGCCCGAGTTCGATTCCCGCTGACGGTCGACAACGGTGACGGTTAACTGTATCGGTCCTGGGCCTCCGCGAGGTCGACTCAGCCTCAAATGAGTACCTGGTCCCGTGTGTAAACATCGCCACTAGGGAGACAAAGGCGGTCGGGCGTGGTGCTGGCCACCCACCCCCTCGCATGCCGTGCCGACCTTCATAGGTGCTTTACGGGGGATCTTTGTCTTAGTTGCTCTGCATCTACTCCGTACTCACGATCCTGCCATCGCCGCTGCCAATGTCCACGAGTCTCCTGCGTCTGCCAGGTCCCAGCGCTCTCAGGATGTTGCCGAGCTGCGCGTCCGTGGCCGGCACAAAGGGCAGGCACACGCGGCGCAGCGCGGGCAGCACGAAGGGCAGGCACAGCGCGTACACGGCGAGCATCGCTCCGCCAGTCACGCCGGCAAGGGCCAAGCCCCAGCGGGGCCGCGCCGACCCAGGGCGGCTGGGATCCCCCGCACTGCCACCCATGGGCTCGTCCATCTGCTCGGTGGCCGACATCCTAGAACATAGGGTGAGGTCGGCAACTTTTCAAAAAGATACTTTTTTTTTACAAAATCGTTCCGAGAGCCGCATCACACGCTGAACTACTTGTACACGTACACAGCAGGCATACAGCGGATGGCAAATTCTGACTTAATTAAACAAAATAGGTTATGGCATAAACTGCGTCTATTTCGTTGTATTCCCCTTCCTTATTCTGTAACAATGCAATTTGACCGTACATTTTTGTCGTCACCAAGACATCCCATAGTAGCCCATTCCCTGCCATATTGAATCAAGTAATCTTCACGTTAAATGATGTTTAAGATTTAAATAGAAAAAAAAAATTGGCTGGCCAAGCGCTCTGGAGTCACAGGTTTGCAAAGCCCTGTTCTAGAACAAGAGGGCAATACAACATGTGTTCAGATGTTCAAACACCAAGGAATCAAGTCTGCATTAACCACATGCAGTACTTGTGGTGAACATGCAAACATGCTCTGATAACATATGGATTTTTATTATTCGTGGTTCTTTCGGTAAAGTCACGTAGAAGGGAAATGATAAAATAATACAAAACAATAAAATTCTCACGACGTTTCGATTACAACACAAGCAATCATCATCAGGTGTGAAAAACCACAGCAAGAAAATGTTTTTGCTGTGTGATGATTGCTTGTGTTGCAATCGAAACGTCGTGAGAATTTTATTGTTTAATTTGTATTCTTGTATTATTTCCCTTCTACGCGACTTTACCGAAAAGAACCAAGAATATGAATCCCTGCAGTCACGAAAGCTTTAAATCGAAACATATGCCATTGTCTTTGAAACGGATTTCCCTACACCAAAGACCTTGTGACAACAAAGACCCTGTCTCACCAATGTCAGACCAGAGAACGCCAAAAGGCGAACAGGACCAAGACAATGCACCATCAGAGCATTTATATTGCTCGGGGTTGAGCTGCTACACCATGGGACCTTCTTGACAGAGGATCTAAAAGTCTGGGTGTGTTTGACCACCTTAACGCCTGTTTTATATGCCAGGAAAGATAAAAAAAACGATTCGTATTTTTTCACGAGAGGCATTTTGTTCTAATTCGTGAGAACAAGAAAAAAACCCGCCCCTATCAATATTTCAAGAGCCGCAATGCATGGAAAACCAAGACGGTGGGTCCTTGAAGAGTCGCAGATTGCCGACTCCCTGTTCTAGAAGATGATGGGAAGGGAGTATTCCCGGTTCTTTAGAAGTCACAATAAAAAAAACAGACGTGCATTTTGTTTTGAAGACAGGTTACGTGGCAACTTGGGCTGGCTGTGTTGCGTCCACGGGAAACGTGACAGCAGTTTCAGTGAGACAGTAACTTGCTGTTAGCTGCACTGCTGGCTGAACAATTTGCCGTCCTTCCCCCGCGCCTTTTATTAGCACGGTCGACTACGTACGGTGCGAAAAAAGTTCGACATACACACTGCCCATTATCATACCCAACACTACCCCCATAGACTCCGCACTGCACCTGCGATTAGCACGGCCGGCTACGTACGGTGCGAAAGAAGTTCAACGTACAGTAACAAAGATCCGAATTGGATGCGTTTATCCTACGGAGTGATGCCAATAGCACGAGTTGTAAAAGTATAAACACGTGCTCCACGTCTTTAGCATATCCTCGCCTCGCTGTTGACCTTCAACGCGTTTGCATTTTCTCTCTCTCTCGGCCTACGTGCTGGCTTCGATATTACCAAGACCCACGGCTGCGTAAGGAACAACAACAAGGAACAACAACAAACACTCGTGTTTTGCTGGCGTCGTTGGCAAGGGGGGTGGACTCCGCTTAGTAGACGTCGTCTTAGTAGGGGACGTGGGGCATTGCGAGGCGTTCAATGTCTACGGCTGTGACCGCCACCCACCACCACTAGACGCATTTAAAAATTGTGTCGAACACACGGCGGTTCGTAGAGGCTTTTCCCCGACGTGACTGCGTCACATTCAAGCTCACCGAATAAAGTAATAAAACGACGTTCGGAGGCAGCAGGCGAGCACGCACGCACGCCGCACGTGGATTTACCAACCCAGCGTGGCGGTGAAGACGGTGGCTCACTGCAGCCTGCCTCGCATGTGGTAGGCGACATAGGCGGGGAGGAAGCCAGCCCCGCTGTCAGATCAGAGGGAGTTTTTGTGTGTGTGTGTGCGTGTGTTTGTGTCAGTGTGTCTGTGTCAGTGTGTCTGTGTAAGTGTCTGTGTGTGTCTATGTGTGTGTGTGTCTGTGTGAGTGTGTCTGAGTGAGTGTCTGAGTGAGTGTCTGTGTGTGTCTATGTGTGTGTGTGTCTGTGTGAGCGGTAGTGTAGCGGTTAGCGCTACGCTGCGCTATGAACCTGGTGACCCGGGTTCGATTACCGCTCACGGCCAACACCAGTGACGATTATCTGAACCGGTCCCGGGCCTCCCCTAGGTCGACTCAGCCTCAAATGAGTACCTGGTGCGGTGTGTAAACATCGTCACTAGGGAGACAAAGGCGGTCGGGCGTGGTGCTGGCCACCCCACCCCCTCGTGTACCGTTCCGGACTTCATAGGTGCTCGCTAACAGCACTTGCCCCTACAGTCTGTTAAGGCTATATGGGGGATCTTTGTCTATGTGTGTGAGTGTCTGTGTATATGTCTGTGTATATGTCTGTGTCTGTGTATGTGTCTTTGTGAGTGTCTGTGTATGTGTCTTTGTGAGTGTCTGTGTATGTGTCTGTGTGAGTGTCTGTGTGAGTGTCTTTGTCTGTGTGAGTGTCTGTGTCTGTGTGAGTGTCTGTGTGAGTGTCTTTGTCTGTGTGAGTGTCTGTGTGAGTGTCTTTGTCTGTGTGAGTGTCTGTGTCTGTGTGAGTGTCTGTGTGAGTGTCTTTGTCTGTGTGAGTGTCTGTGTGAGTGTCTGTGTCTGTGTGAGTGTCTGTGTCTGTGTGAGTGTCTGTGTCTGTGTGAGTGTCTGTGTGAGTGTCTTTGTCTGTGTGAGTGTCTGTGTGAGTGTCTTTGTCTGTGTGAGTGTCTGTGTCTGTGTGAGTGTCTGTGTGAGTGTCTTTGTCTGTGTGAGTGTCTGTGTGTCCGGCAAAACAACCCCCTACCTCCTCGTGGTGCCGGACGGGCAACTCTGTCGTGGACAGTGCTGTGGGGGGAGGAGCCAAAATTCCGATTGGCTCCTCCCCTCATGGAGTCTGTGTCCACCACAGTGGCTAAACGGGGGCTCTGGACGGGTGCGAGGGGCTGGTAACCCCTCCACCTTCAATTAATTACCACTAAACTACGACTGAAATATGTAACTAATAAGCTTGTGCCGGAGGCCCCGGGGGAACATGCGTCTATGACGTTTCCTGGCCTAACCCCAATTGACGGAGCCAGGAGATTGAATCTCTACCCTCGGGGCTCCTCCAGAAACAACGAAAAGCCACTACGGAGGGCCACGTGGAATGTTCGAACGCTCACTGCGGAGGAGAGGCTGCCACTCCTCTGTCGGGAGCTGGACCTGTACCGCCTGGATCTCTGTGGCATTCAGGAGGTCCGGTGGACCGGCTCTGGCTCCTGCCACCATGAGGGGTGGACAGTCCTCTACTCGGGGCAGCAGACTGCCAAACAACAGGGTGTGGCGCTTCTTTTGAACAAAAGAATGAAGGGGGCGTGGGAGCGTGGCGGTGAGGTGTGGGAAGTTGTAAGCCCCAGGCTACTTTGGGCTCGCCTTCCCATCAACCAGAGGTGAGGAGTGGTGGTCGTGGTTACTTATGCCCCCACCGAAAACGAATATCCGTGGAGGGATGCAGGCAAAGCCGATGAGTCAGATGCCTTCTATGACCTGTCACAGGTGCTGGCTAAAGTGGCCCCTCGGGATAGTCATCTTGTTGGGTGACTTCAATGCCCGAGTTGGTCATGATGCTGGCACCTGGTCTGAAGTGATTGGAGGGCATGGGCCAGATCAGCTCAATAGCAACGGTAGGAGGCTGCTAGATTTTTGTGCAACCCATGGGCTTGTAATTACCAACACACTGTTCCGGCATCTGCGCATCCACACAACATCATGGATGCATGCCGGGTCCAAGCAAGAACATCTGCTGGACTACATAGTGACGGACCAGCGAATGCGAGCCTATGTCCTTGACACCAGGACCTACCGTGGAGCTGATCTGCCCTCTGACCATCGACTAGTCATCTGTAAGATGCATCTGCCATTCTTCCACTCCGGTGGTGGGTGTACACCCAGGACCCCATTCCAACCTAAAGTGGCCTGGTCTCAGTTATCTGATGAAAGTTGCAAGTGAGAATTTCATCATCGCTTGCGGCTGGGGTTGGCATCGTCCCCCACTCCTCCTGATGTCGAGGGTAAATGGGCGAGGTTTAGGACTGTGACTCATGCAGCTGCAATGGCTGCTTTGGGTACACGGTTCAGACCTCCCCAGAGACCCTGGCTGACAGAGGAGGTGTTCAGGATGGTTGAGAAAAAGCGACAGGCCAACTGTCATCGGCTACAGAATCCCACGTCAGAGAATGAGGAGGCTTACCGCAGCCTTCGCTCGGAGGTTCGGAGAGCCGTGAGGCGCTGCTAGGATGGGTGGTGGTCGCGGGTTGCTGAGGAGATGGAGTCTGCCTCAGTGGCCCACGATCACAAATCTCTATTTAACTCCATCAAAAAGTAATCTGCAGCACCACACCTATTACCATCATGAGGGGAAAAAACGGTGATCCAATCTCCGACCCCCAGGAACAGGTTTGCAGATTTGCTGAGCATTTCTGTGAGGTCCTGGGGGAGGGAAAATCCCTCAGCCAGGAAAACATCGTGGCACAAAGTGAGGATGACCCTGCTGAGGCTGCGGTGCCTCAAATATTGGAAGAAGTCACCCCCTGTGAGTGGCTGGCTGAGGTGCCATCTGTTGAGGAAGTACTGAAGGCGATCCGGAGTCTGAGACCAGGAAAGGCAGCGGGCAGAGATGATCTCCCAAGCGAAATGCTGAGGGACGGTGGCGTTTGTGCACAGACTGCCCTATATGACATCATAACAACGGTCTGGGCCGCTGGACAGGTTCCGCAGGATTGGAAGGATGCCCTGGTGGTCCCCCTCTTTAAGAAGGGGGACCGCACAGACTGTAACAACTACAGGGGCATCTCACTCCTCAGTGTGCCGGGAAAGGTCCTGGCAAGGATTATTCAGCATCGCCTTGCCAGGCACGCTGAGGAGAGGCTTGCGGAGCCCCAATGCGGTTTCAGGAAAGGGCGGTCCTGCACAGATGCCATTTTCTGTCCTTCTGCTACAGCAGAGGTGTAGCGAATTCCAACAAGACCTACATCTCTGCTTTATTGACCTGGTCAAGGCCTATGATACCATCAGTAGGCCTGGGCTCTGGGTCGTTCTTCGTGCTTTTGGAGTACCTGACCCTCTGCTCACAATCATTAAGGACCTTCATGATCGTGAGCGGGCCCGGGTAAAACTACGTGGCCGGGAGTCAGAGCCATTCCCTGTACACCTTGGGGTGCAACAGGGATGCCCTCTGGCTCCCACATTATTTAACATCTATTTTGACCACGTAGTTCGTGAAGCCTTCAATAGCTGTACCGGGGAAATCTCCATTTGGTACAGATATAATGGGAGGCTGATCAATGCCCCGGGTGCGGTCAAGGGATGGCTCCCTATTGCTCAACTACGTTATGTATGCCGATGATCAGGTAATTGCCGCTAACTCAGAGGAGGAATTGGAGGCGCTGATGGTGAACCTGGAGCGTGCCACTAAGAGATGGGGCCTTACCATAAGTCCCACCAAAACTAAGCACCTGCCTGGGTATTTTGTACCATCGGACACTCCACCCCCACAACTCCCAATCGGTGATGGGGCAGTTGTGTAGAGAGTGGAGAGTTTCCCATACCTGGGTAGTGTGCTTATGACTGGCTCCAGTTTAACAGCAGAGGCCTCACTCCGAATCAGTCGAGCGGCAATATCTTTTCATCGGTTGCGTAACGCTGTGTGGAAGTTACCTGGTCTGTCGCTCCGCACTAAGCTTCAGGTCTTCTCGGCCACGGTCATTCCCTCCCTTCTCTACGCTTGCGAAACGTGGACCCCCCTAATGGAACATCTTCGCCGGTTAGAAACATTTAGGCTGGCCTGCCTACGATCCATCCTCGGTTTAACCAGACTGGATTGTGTGAGGAGCTCACAAATCCTTGAAAGATCTGGGCAAGGTCCCATCGGTGAGCTCCTCCGGCAGGCAAGGCTGCGATGGCTGGGTCATGTAGCCCGCATGCCCAGCCAACGCATGCCGAAACAGCTTTTGTTCGGCCGGATTGAGGGGGCTAAGCGGGCGCGGCACGGGCTAGAGAAGAGATGGAGTGATGTGGTACAGGAGGACGTGGAGCTGAGTGGACTTGCCGATGACTGGTACCAGCGGTGTCAAGATCGACCTCTGTGGAGGAGGCTCGTGAAGGATGCTACTGGGCAGTTGGAGGTAGTCGCCCTCCAACAACAACGGAGGGCGGAGGTGCGACGCTCACAACAACGAGCGGAGCGCCGGGTGGCTAAAGCACAGCAGGTTGGCACAGTAGGGGACACAGGTGGTGCAGCAGCCAGTCATCTCAGTCAGTCGACCCGTGGCACCTGGGTCTGCCCCGTGACCTCCTGCTAGCGGGCGTTCGACACTTCACGTGGCCTCAGGGTGCACATGGCCTGGCACAAGCGTCGTGGTGACGTCACCGCCACTTAGTGGCGAATGGCGGTTATTGTTGTTGTGTGTCTATGTGTGTGTGAGCGTCAATGTGTGTGTGTGTCTGTGTGTGTGTCTATGTCTGTGTGTCTATGTCTGTGTGAGTGTCTGTGTGTGTCTATGTCTGTGTGAGTGTCTGTGTGTGTGTGAGTGTCTCTGTGTGTGTCTATGTGTGTGTCTATGTGTGTGTGAGTGTCTGGGTGTGTCTATGTGTGTGTGAGTGTCTGGGTGTGTCTATGTGTGTGTGTCTGCGTGTGTGTCTATGTCTGTGTGTTTATGTCTGTGTGAGTGTCTGTGTGTGTGTGCGGAGCAGTAGTGTAGCGGTTCGCGCACTGCGCTGCGAACCTGGCCACCCGGGTTCGATTCCCGCTCACGGCCAACACCAGTGACGATTATCTGAACCGGTCCTGGGCCTCCTCTAGGTCGACTCAGCCTCAACTGAGTACCTGGTCCGATGTGTAAACATTGCCACTGGGAAGACAAAGGCGACCGGGGTGGTGTTGGCCACGCACCCTCTCCCCTCTCATGTCACTCTACTTCCACACACTCTTACCTCTCCCCACTCATCTCACTCTACTCACCTCCGTACACTCGTCTCCATCTCCCCTCTCATCTCACTCTGCTCAAATTTCTCTCCGCCACATACTCATCCCACAAGTCAGTTTACGCAACTGACAAAGTGAATTGGAAACACGGTCATCGCACAGCCTATGCACTGCACTGGTTTCTACTGCGAATATCTGGGAAGGGCACAGGTGTGGTGTTAGTTACCCAGATCCCACATCTGAAAAACACAGAAACCAAAGAACAGAGTAACACTTTTGTATTTGTCAACTGTTTTATTCCAAAATCAGGACAGAAATAACTTATATTTGGAAAAACAAAACTCGAACACCTTCAGAATCCGTGTTTTTTAGGCTTGTCAAAATGACTGTCAACCCCTAGATCATTACACGTGGGTTTGAACCATGGAGAGACCACGTACTGTAATGGCAAAACAAGAATCTTGGGTGCAGCAAGTTGGAATGTCTCAACCTGGTCAACAATGACCGTCCAAAGAAATAACCATCATGATGAAAAGTTTATCTCGCAATTTTATTTACGTCCAAAGGCCTGATGACTGAATATGTGATGATAAATACCGTAATGAAACATCGGTTCACTGATCAAACACATTTCTTACACTCACCATACCTGCAACGGATTGTAAGCATCAAAATTATGATATATGAAGAGTACTGTATACGCATATCATATGCTGTTGTACGTATGCTCATTTTGTATACATAACTGCAAATGAGGCATACAAACGAGAGAAAATGGCAACACAAATTAGTCAACAAAACGATTGACTTTTTAAAATGAATCGTAGCCCCAAGTAATGATAATTCATTGAAACAGTGGGAATGATTAACTTTACATGGCTCAAATATCGGTGTTAACTTCACATGTCATGAACGGCTGGAGGCTTTGTGGTTGTTGATGAGAGAAGTCCACTTATCGTAAAAGAAAGGATTGTGATAAAAAGGGGATAATTTTTATACCGATGCCTGCAGCAATTTCTGTGATGAAAAGGAATCACGCTTCTCTTTGAGGATTCATGCCGACAGTACATTCGGGAAATGGTTGGTGTTAAACAAGGACCACTGTATGTTATTTACAGCCCTTTGTCAATTCGCTGCTGGATAAGGGTCTCTCCGCATTGTGTAGGTCATAGGGATCAGCTGACCATACTTCGCCACGATGGCCTATGTGGTTTGGAGTAAGAGCATGGCGCAAGACCAATCAATATTTCACTGCACCAATGTTAGCCGTGACCGGGAATCACACTCGTGGGATTCATAGCGCAATACACGAACCACTGCACCACTGAATCGAGCATGGATGAATCTATTATGGTTTTTTTGCAAATAATACGTGTTACAAGCGGGCTACTGGGGCAAATTGTACAAACCAAACGATACACAAGTACAGTAACAATACAAACACGATGCGAAACTAAGACCGATTCTTCAATCAAATAGTGAACCCCGAATTGTGACAGTTCATCAAATCATTACATGCCGATTCAAAACAGATGACATTTGAAATGCTGAACTTGTGTCTTCTCATCACAGGTTTTGGAAATGCCGGTTGAGATGCTCCAAGGGAAGTGGTGGTCCAGACCGTGTTTACAGATCACGGTGGGATTTCTTACCAACTTTCTCATAGTCCTTCCCTCGCTGCCTCCTCATGTAGTTCACAAAGTCGGATTCCTGGAAACCAAACAGAAGCAGGGCTTAAATACACACACTGAATATCCAGTGTGTGACTGTGGCTGCGTGTCTCGTGTGCAAAGGGTGCTACGGAAAATAATACCAAAATACCATATTTTCCAGATTATGATGCACATCCCCCCCCCCCTGTATTTTAAAGCGAAGGCTGAGGGTGTGTCTTATGGTATGGTAGGTGTGTGATTCTCCATATGTATAACTTTATTGTCGCCTGTCACAAGTTTTCGGTGCATCTGGCTTTCCCTGAGCATTAAATAATCTAGAGAATACAAGGGTAAAAAAACTACATCAGAAATGCAATAATCTGCATTGATATGGGGGGATCAAATCGCGGATTCTGTAAGTTGTGGCGCAGATTATTTTGAGTTCTGCTGTAATGACGAGAATGATGATCTTGACGGACACTGAAAATGATATGTAACTTATATATTTTTTTATGCTTAAGCATCCGTTTAGCTCCTGCACGAGCCAATTTCATTATACCATCTACTCTTTTTTATTAAGCGGTTGGATGATTTAGTGGTTAGCAAGCTCACCAGTGACCCATATTTTATACTGTACAGCCCTTTTGCCAACCCACTGCAGGATGAAGGCTTTCCCATGTTGTGTCAGTGACAGACGTTATTTGACCATACTTAACTGTGCTGGAAAGTTTCAGGTTGGTGAAGCAAGTACCTAAGACCTATACACACATCACTCGCAAATGATATTGGCCGGGAATCAAACTCAGGATGCCAGGCTCATAAAAAAGAGCGCTAACCAATGTGCCAGTACTCTCCAACAGATATTTAGGGGGAATTGATAATTTACGTCAATTTCTATTCTATTGAGTACATTTTCACAGTTGTGCAGTACAGGTCTCTGATGCATTTTTGTAACATCGTTTTGTTCATCATGATGTCTGACGTTTTGGGAGGTTCTTCAGAAAAGGAAAGACGCTGTGAGCACCTGGAGCTTAACATTGGGCATCGTGCTTAACACGCAGTACGAGCCAAAAATATATCGGAGAGCAATGTTTTGTTCTGTATGAATTCTATTGGCCATTTTATAGATGATGTGATATAGTTATAACTTGGTTCACGCACCCCACGTGGGCCAGTGTAGCGTTCCAGTGCCCGGCCATAGGAGTAATAGCGGAATGTGGGGTACTCCTGCACGCCTTCCTGCCCACAGATCTCAGAATTCCCTGCCTTACTGCAGTCAATGGCACCTAAACCCATCTGAAAAAATAATCAGAGAAACACACCATCCAGCATGGTTATAACACGAGGGGACGGGTAAAAGAAATACGGCTAAAATTATCACCATCAGAATTTTTGGATGTTCTACCAGGAAACATGATTAGCTGGTCGCCCTTCCCTCCCTCTGTCGACTCTGCCCACTTTTAAATAACCACGCCCTTTTAATCACTAGCCCCCACCAACATAGTGAGTGGTCCCCTTGCTCATAGGCTCTGCCTAGGTCATTCAAAGTGGGGTATTTTATTTAGGATGGAAACCCCCCCAAAAAATCCCCATAATATTACAGAGCTCACCTTTCTATCCTCCTTTAATTGTTCAGCAGCTCCTGTAAAATGCAGCATGGCTTGCTGAGAGTGTGGGCACCCTAAATCGTTGCATACACACACACACAGAATAGGCATCCAAACACAGACATATGTTATACATCAGGGCATAGCTATGGAGTGTATAGACAATGTAACTGCAGCAGGGCCCACGGAGCAGAAAAGCTCAGGCACCGGGCTATAAAGAGGTGGGGACATTGGGCTGGGGGCCCCATTTCATTCCTTGCAGTAGGGACCATGTCAACCACGATCCTTTGGCAGGGTGAGGAGCTGACATGCACGTTCATCCGTGCATGTCAATGTTGGTAAGCGAGCCGATGGACAGCTTCAGGGGTAGCCCGGTGGATATCTGAAACGCTGCCAGTGAATGATTACAGCGGGGGGGCAGTGTTGTTACTATGTAGTCCATGATTTTAGATTCAATTGTTTCAAGTTTATTTTGTTTAACCAGGAGAAGAACTCGAGACTAGGATGAGTCACATTTGCAGGAGTGACATGGGCCACCAAACTTATAAAAAGCACAAATAAAAATAAGGTACAGCCACGAAGCAAATAGAAAACACGACTAAAAGAACCGTGCCACAAGAGAGAATGAAAACAGTGCACAAACACAAATCAATGCCAAGTAAAAAAAACTCACTGCAGTGCAAGTCATCTTAGGAAGATTATCCTGAGACTGATCATAGTCCCACTTTGCTGTATAATTCAAGTGTCCCTTGGTGTAGGAGACAGCCACATCTGCCGTGTGACAAGCATTGTCATTTTTTTCGTGTGTTTAGTTTGTTGTCCTTACCCCGCACCTCCGATTAGCACGGTTGGCTACATATCGTGCGAAATAAGTTCAACATACAGACATACATACACACACCCCTGGGCGCATTTCCAGGCCTGCGTGTGAGTTTCTGTTAATGCAGGACCATTATTCCCCTTCTCAATTGCTACCTTTCTTTATGCTTGTGGTATATAGACCTCTTTTTAAAAAAAAATCCTACACTGGCTATAAATATTGACAATGGCCTGTTTATAGTGTATGGAACTTACAGAGTTTACAATGCTCTCAGCAAAGTTACATGTGTGAGCACTGTGCACTTTGCAGTACTTTGAAATTGGCATAAAAACTTCACTTGGCCTAAAGTTATTACTGGGGAGACAGCACTGGCCCTGACAGACAGTCTTTATAGGCTACACGGGGGATCTTAGTAACTCCGGGGGATCTTAGTAACTCACATGGCACGTAGAACATGACAAGTGCATGCTTAGTCTTCTTGAGGAAGTCTCGGAGGTCTCGGCTGGTTAGGTGATGCACACTGCTAGGCCGCTGTTCCCAAGGCAACTCTGAGCTCTGTGGGTCTTGAGGGCTGCCCAGAGGCACAAACACATACAACAACAGCCATTTGCCACCAAGTGGTGGTGACCTCACCCCGGCACTTGTGCCAGGCTAGGTTGCACACTAAAATAAATACATACGCATGCACGCGCACACATATATTCATGTACAAATGCATACATGCGCACACAAAGACAAATATCCCCCGTATAGTCTTAACATCCTGTTGGGGCAAGTGCTGTAAGCAAATAGCACCGATATAAGCCAACAAAGCACGCGAGGAGGTAGATACGTTGGTTGTAAGCAGGAATCGAACTCGGGTTCTGGGTTCGAAGCGCAGTGCGCTATCCACTGTGCCACTGCTCCCCACAAATGCACGTACATAAAGACATGCGCACACACAGACATAACAAATCCACATACAAATACATGCACACACGCGTATAGACACAATGCGCACACACACACACACAATATGATCAATACTTGCCTGGCGCGCAGCCACACTGGGAAAGTTGGGGGTGTCCTACTAGCAAATGGTTCCCGGTGAATAACAAGTAAATTACAGATATGATCGGCCAAGGTCCACCCAACTGGTCAGCTAAGACGGGTTCTATGGCACTAAAAGTATACTAAATATAGACATATTCTTGGTTCTTTCGGTAAAGTCACGTAGAAGGGAAATAATAAAATAATAAAAATAAAACATTATACAAATTCTCATGAAACGTTGTGAGAATTTTTTATTATGTTTTATTGTTATTCTTTTTTTATTTCCCTTCTACGTGACTTTACCGAAAGAACCAAGAATATGAATCCCTGCAGTCACGAAAGCTTTACATCGAAATTTAAATATAGACAACTACTGCAATGGCCACTCACCCAATATTTAGCCTGCTGTGCGTGCGCTCCTGTATATATAAAGGGAACGTCATCACCATATTCAGAAGGTATTTCACTTGGTCAAAGGAATAAATATGCAACCTCAAGACCATGACTTTTGTCCTAAGTTTTTGTGCGTGTCTTAGCCATAACTATAAATTGCAAGGGGTGTCCAAACACCAACGACACCAACAGTGGCTGCACCTTCTGCGTCTAGATCTCTCCCACGTAAAATCAGATGATAGGAGTTTGTTAAACAGTGCAGTGTGTGACGCTCACTTGCGCAGGAAGGTGAGCAGGGTGTTGCGGTCATGGGACATGGGCAGGTTGTAGAGAGGACGGCCCTCGTGGAAGTAGTAGAGGCTGGGCAGGGTCGTGACCCCATAGGCCTCAACTAGGCCCACTTCCGTCGCTCCATCCACAGCTGCCAACACCCCAGGGCTCTGCAGTCACACAGGGGGTGAAACATACAGAGAACCCGTCATCTATTTACAATTACTGGGTATCCGTCGTGATGTAATGGATAAACGCACTAGCCTTCCAGTCCAGACAGCGTCGGTTCGATTCCACCTCCAGATGCAGTAGTTGAAGCGACAGGATCTACGTTTACTCACGTCAGGTCTTGGATTCAAGATGGCAGCGGCCGCCTCATACTCGGGACGAACCTTCCTGCTCACGGGACACCCTGTGAGAGAGAGGTGGGGTGATTAGGCCCAGAGAACTCAGGTCGCGGACGGGCCTCCGATGCTGTTTTCACCACTCATGCCTCTGGCAGAGGGGTGGGGTGATGAGGCCTGATGCAGCGCATGATGGTCAGGGAATATGCTGTTGGAGAGGGGTGGTGACATGGGCGTGCAGTAGCATGAACGCACGGTTGCCCGTAGAGGTTAGCGGTCCGAGTATTCGTCCCATGACGTTATTAAAAAAAAGAGTAGGCCATGTGTGCTGGCATAACAGTCCAAATTTGCCGTATTTGAAAACCACTCACAAATGACCTTATTCGGAAAAGCCACATGGCAATTATTACCCCCTAGAGTTGACAGATGGACAAGTGGATGGACAGAATCACTGCGTAAATACTTTCAACCTCAGTTGAAAAAATACAAAAAAAGTCAAAGACGAACTGTGTGATTGTTTAAACGAAGTAAGGGCCATTGGTAACCGTGAGTCACTGATGGAAATCCCACTCTCCCACAGCGAGGGAGAGTTTACCTACACAATCACAACTTGATTTTCCCACAAAGTGGTCCTCACGTTTATTCATCACAGACACTCGACGGGCCACCACCACGTCAACCACCGTGTGGATTGAGCCCTGGCATTACGGATATTGGGCTGAGCGCTACGGGGGTGGCGGGGGGGTAATGGGAGTAGTGGGCCGAGGGCGCTGTGGTGGGAGGGCGCTTGACTCACAGGGCGCGTAGAAGAGAACCAGCGTAGAGGGATGCGTGCCCAGGAAGGGGCCAAAGGTGCTCGCGGTCAGGTGGTGCACAAGAGTGTCGGGGTCCTGCGACCAGGGCACCATTTCCGCAGGGGGACGTGGGGGCCGTGGGCTGCAAGGGGGACAAAAAACCCCCAATATCATCGTTATCATCATCATTAATTCATGACCATCATCATTGTTGTCACTGTTATAATCTTTGTCCTTGAAATTATCATCGCCATCATGTATTTTATGGTTCTCATCATTATCAACATATTTACTCTCGTTACCTCCATCAGCGTGATCATTGTCATCATCACTGTGATGCTAACGCTGCAAATAACTGGGCAAAGATGCACTACCCATTACTTATACATTATATACATTTCACTGTTTACAAAACCCTTAGTCCTGAACAAAACGAAATTAATTAAAAACCCAAACTTAGACGCACACTACTGTACTTGTTTTCCTGTTACGCAATTACATGAGAGAAGAGTAAATAGAAGAATCCAGAAAGGGAAAAAGATGTGGACTTGGGCACGTTCTCAGAGGAGAAAGCTTAACGAAGGAAGATTTCGAAGGATGTCTGGAAAAGATTCCAAGATAATTAAAAACAAAGCTACTGCTTGATGACGTGAAGGAAATAGTGGGTATACATTAACATGAAGAAGAGAGCTCACGATTGGCGAGAATGGAGGTGAGTTTGAGCAAAGATCTGCCATCTGGCAAAAGACTAAAGAGAAAATTATTTATGGAAGCCTCGGATTGTGTGTAATAATAATGTAGTTTATGAAGCGACTTTCGTAAAGAATCTCTACGTGCTGTACAAGACACAGCAGCAGCAAACTCTTAGCATAAAAATAACCTGTGAAACGAAAAAACCCTAAAAATGTCAAAATAAAATGTTTTAAGCAAATATACATTTGCTGAATTAACTAGGAGTTGAATAAATAGAAGAGTATACATGAGGCTTTGAAAATGTTCACAGACTCGGAGATCCTGACCTCTCATAGGACAGAGTTCCAGGGTGTGGAGGCTAGACGCAAAAAAATCTCTTAGTCGCCCATCGACAGGAGCCTCTGTGACCTGAGAACGCAGAGAAGAACTGCATCCCTAGATCTTAATGAGACCCTGAGGGGATTTTGTGGGTTTCAGTGTGTCGCTGATGTAGGTGCGTAGGGTGGGTTGAACTTACTTTAGGAGCCACGACACTATGTCCTGCTTGGTCGCTTGATAGTTCTCGAAGTTGAAGAGATGTCTGCCCTTCCTAGTGGTCGCAAGTTGCCAAGGATATCACATCCAGTCGGGACAGAGGGCGGGTCGTAACGGAAACATATGGCAACAAAGACATGTGATTACTTTACTGGGCAAAATTAAACTACGGTCCTTTAAAATGTGCGCGCGAGTGTGGGGTGTTGTGTTGGTTAGCGCACATCACTGGGCAGATCTGTACAGGCGATCCTGATACAGGGCCCAAAATACAGTTTCCAATGTAGCCATGTTGGTATCGCAGGTATCACTCCTATACCAAGTACTGTTTTAGCAGCAGTACTTCGGTATAGTATTTGGAATGATGATGATGACACGTTGTAGCCATTTGAAAATCCGCTTCTGGATGATGATGAACTCCACAGGTCATGGAGGTTTATGCTCACAATTCATCATGTGTCTGATGGGATGCGGCTGGTGGGATGTGTTAGTGAAATATGACAAAGCGTTGGGGTTGTTTGATGATACTTCACCATGCTGCTCATTGTAGGTTGGCGAAAGGATTGCTAAGGACTGGTACAGATATCACTTGGCAATGGTGTTATACGTGGGCCATGTAATAAAAGTGAAATCACTGGGTCTATCGTGAACGTTACATTGCTGTGTTCATTTCTTGTGAAATATCAAAACTCCTCTCATCTGCAACCAATTTAGTCGCAAAATCCTCACTCAATATAGGCGAAAGTTGGGTATCCTGTGATGCGGAAGTCTTGCTTGATGCCGTCAAACTCTGGGGCGTGCAGATTCATGCCAGCCAGCACCTGCACAACCACACATGGATGACGTTAAGCCTGGCTTCCATCAAAATGTCTAGCAAGGAAGAAAAATCATCTTTACGCGTGGATTCTGTATTGGCCTGTGGACCCTGGTGCAGTTGCACCGCCTGCACACTCGATAGCTACACCAATGGTGTGTGCATATATGCCTATGTACATACATAGGTGTTTGTGTGTAAAACAAAGGGCAGTGGTGTTGTAGTTAGCGCGCTACGCTACGAGACCAGCGACCCGAGTTCGATTTCCGCTCACGGCGAACACCAGTGACGATTATTTGAACTGGGCCCGGGTCTCCCCGAGGTCAACTCAGCGTCAAATGAGTACCTGGTGCACTGTCTAAACATCGTCACTAGGGAGACAAAGACGGCCAGGCGTGGTGCTGGCCAGCCACCCCCTTTGTGTGTCGTGCCGGCCTTCATAGGTGCTCGCAAGCAGCGTGTGCTTTTCAGGGGATCTTTTGTCTTGTGTGTGTTTGAGTAGCTTACGTGCGTTTCTTTAAGCTCCGTGGCTGCTTCCTGGAAAGCCGGCATCAAAGTCTTGCAAACGCCACACCCTGCCAAGGGAAAAATTAGGCTAATGTGGTGCATCAGGCAAGGTGTGGGGCTAGGCATAAGCATCTCTTTTCTCTCACCTCACTATATCTCTATTTCGAATATAGTATACATTTATATCTCACTATTGCGCATGACATCTGACTATATGTCTTGTCATATATATTAACCGCAACAATGCTCGTGATTATTATTATTTATCAGACTTAAAACTTTTGTGACTGCAGGAATTCATATTCTTGGTTCTTTCGGTAAAGTCACGCAGATATACTTTTTTTGTATTTGTTTTTGATCTACGTAACTTTACCGTAAGGACCAAGAATATTATTTATCACATAATTTTGAGCCAAACTCAGACCCATTCCTAACAGAGAGGGTTCTTGCCTACAAATATGTGGCACTTCACCAGCATTGATTTAAGCTAACATTGAATGTTGATGAGACACTGGATGTCAAAACTGCTCCAGAGTTCGCTTGTGTTGAAACAATGCTGCTGAAATTATGCACTCCCAGAAGGCAGTGTGGCTGACGGGATAGGTTAAGAAATTACGTAAGTTTTATCTTTCTCATGAGGAGGGACAGATGTGGAAGAGAGGAAATGTCTGCTTAATTATCTTGTGTCAGTTAAGAAGTTGAAGACAATACTATATCATAACATGAACATTTCCTGGGAGGGAAACACAACATATTTTGAATACATGTAAAATTGAGACACTCACATGGAGCGTAAAACATGATGAAAATGGGCCTCGCTTCATTCTTGACCAGCGTGCGAAACTCCTGCAGAAGCAAGACAAAAATTATATGCCAGATTTTAATTGAAATCAGTGTCAATGTATTTTGTATGCACAACCTTCCCATAACAACCCCCCCAAAGGTGATCCATAAACACGAGTTGTGTGGGATTTGTGACTTTGGAGTGTGCGATGCTCTCGTGTGTGACCTTCGTCCATATTTTGTTAAAATCAGGTGCAACCCCCAAGGGGGGAAGGAGGCTTGCACATGATTACGCACAGTCCACATGTGGTTACACAGAGTCCACACCTGGTCAGTTGTGAGGTGTTTGACGTCTCTGGCACTAGGGCTGTCTTCCCAGAGCGGAGCTCCAAGCGGGTCACGTAGAAAAGCAGTCATGGACTAGAAGAACACACGGACGCGTACACAGATATCCCCCATTAAGGTAAGTGAACCATATGTCTCCTTGATATATCTGTCTCTCCACGCAAATAAGTATTTCCTACACAATCCATCTGCCTGCTGTCCGGGAGTGAATCATTTCAGCAGAATCGATTCAGCGCAAACAAACTCTGGACCGCTTTTTTGACATACAATGTCTCATGAGCAGAGTCAGGCGTGCTGGAATCCATGCTGGTCAACTGCATGTGCAAGATGTTAAAGGGAAGGGGGAACCTCTCTAATATGTGAGTCCTAGCTCCACCGCAAAATTCGACAATGCACAATTCAAAATAATAATTTGCGTCCATCGTCGTGGACAACATAAATAACGATGAGCTGCAAACTCTGTCGGGATAAGTGATGAGAGTGAGCACCTATTTAGGTTGGCATGGTAACAGTAGCGCAGGCGGTGTGGGAAAAAAAAAAACACGCATGCAAACCTGCCCTCTATTCTCCAGGACTGATGTTCACACACCCTGCACCGGGTACCCTTATGCATGTGTAGTGACAGAGAATTAGCTCTGTAGCAGCATAGCGCTGGCTGCTGGCGGGGAAGGGGATCTGCGGTTTACAGCAGCCCTGACAGCAGCAGGCCACGTGATACACCAGAGGGGGATCTAGGGGAAAGGTCACGGAAGGGACACACCAGGAACCCGCGGGTAGGTTCTAGAAAGGGGGCGTGGCCAGGGGCGGTGCCAGGCCACGCTGACAGTATAAGAGGGGCCCCGAGAGGGGACCTTGGGGCTGGGGGGGATCCCCATAGTGCTGCTGCTGGAGTCTTCACCGTCGTCTCTATCTTCACCATCTCGGCGTCGCCAGTTAGGCAGTCTACCAGCTGTCCTGACTGGGAACCGTAGTGGACTATAGACGGATTGTTTGGAAGTGTTAACCCGTTGGTGCGTGTTAATAAACAGAGCGCCTCCAACCCCTAGTGTCTCCGATTCAGTCACTACATTTGTAATGCCCTTTTTTTCAATCCACTGAGGGCCTCCCCACACCATGTGGGTTGTGGGGCTTATTTCACCATACTTCACTTCTCTGATCAGTGTGAGTTTGGGAAAGCATGCAGCATAGAGACGGCGGGGGGGGGGGGGGGCATTGAAGTAAAGCACAACTATTTATTTTGCTGCATTGCCCCCTGATGTCCATCACATAGCCCCTTGGCCTTAGAATAACCTGTTTGTGCATGGTGGTCACGCAACCAAGCATTATCCAAGCTCAACACTGTATAGCTTAAGAGGCCTGGTACATTCCATGCGATTTGGTCACAGACTGTTACTCGGTACTCATTCTAGGTTAATCGATCAAACGAAGGTTCTGCCCAGGTGCAGATATCAAGTTCAACTAGTAGTATGTGTGGCCAGAAACAAAAGCTGCAGTGCATTGAATTTAAAGTACTGTATACTACCCATCCATACGAATAAATAAATCCCCTTTAACAGAAATGCGAAGCGCTTATTTAGACCAGCACAGCACATGAGGGGGATGGTGTGGCCAGAAAAACGTCCAGCCGCCTCTGTCTCTCCAGTGTTGATGTTTACACACCGCACCAGCTGCTCAATCAAGGATGAGTCAACTTAGAGGAGGCCCAGGTGGAAGGTTTTACTGGTCGGTGCTTCACCTTAAAAGTCTCCGGTCGTGTATACTCAATGTGGAACGCGCCATCCCTGTGAACAAGATGCAAGAGAGACATTAGCTTTGTGAGTGATGACCGCCTTATATTGAACCAAGCGAAGAAGCCAGTCTGATTCACGATCTCATTCGCAAGGGACACCAGGTAAGGATTGGTAGGCGCTTGCCTGGGATCAAATCGCTCTCGTTGTGCCTAATTTTGTCAGATCTTGGAAGCTAAGAAGGAAACCATTAGCTTGGTACAGTCCGTGGATGGGAAACATCCTGTGACAACCAGGGGCTGTAGGCTTGGCATCCATGTCTAGAAGGTGACTACAGAAAGAGATTCAGAAATCCCTTTGTAACTGTTCAAAATCCAATCTGTTAAATACAATGAGTGGGATTGGATAGGAAACGCCATCGTTAGAAGGGATGATGGTATAATATGTTAACTTTCTGACCCGCCCCTACTGGACATCTGTGAAAAAGAAATGTATAGCTCATCAGATTCCTCCAGTATAAATTAATCTGATTATGAAAAATAATTGCGGAGTGGCAGCCAAGTAATGGAACATGTGTGAGAGGATGTCCTCTGATATGAGCTCGTGTGTCGGTGCTAGGTGAATTATTATATCTCAGGATCATGACAGATGGCTTCAGTTTGATGAGGCCTTCATCCCGCAGTGGATTGACCACGGCTATCGCTGAAAATGAATGACCACAATGGCAATTCTTTACGACCGGTGGACAGAGTGGATTTTTTTGGCAAAAAAATCCTTCGGCGACGGCACTTTTGTAGAGAAATAAAACTTTAATCATGTCTTGACAATAAGTGTAAATTGTAACGCTTGTAACGTGGTAATCCTGGTCCCCTAAATACCTGTAGTGAAGTAGTTCTACTCCATCCGCGTCAGGCACCACCTTCATACGAGCGCAGGCCTCGGCACCACCCTCCTCCCTGCATTATACATGCGCGTTGAGACTATATTTTTTATTTCTTTTTTTATACAAAAATACCTTTCCGACAACGTACTTACCGAATGTTCTCAATTTTTAACGAAGCACCGTCCGCTGTCGAGTAACGTTAATACGCATAACATTGTGGTTGTAGTCCCGAGGGAACACAAGACGAGTGAACACAAGGCGAGTGAGGCAGAATGAATAATAAATGTGACCAAAATTGTGACTTTTTGAGTTGGTGTATTCCAAGGCCGTAGCCATGGACTCAACATTGGGGGGGACCACATCTTCCAGGGGGTCTGGGGGTCCCCCCCCCCAGAAAAAAATCAAAATTGGAAAGCTAATTTCCTGCCTAAAATATAAAAAAAATCATTAACACATAGGATAGACTTTTTTTTTACAATAATCTCTAATAGTGTATTGTTTTACATTGCTGTTTTTTTCTTTTTTACCTTTTCTTGTTTGATTGTATGTAATGGCAGAGATTAGGGATTAATAAAGTACAACCATAAGCACAATCATATACAGTGAGGGAAAAAAGTATTTGATCCCCTGCTGATTTTGTACGTTTGCCCACTGACAAATAAATGATCAGTCTATAATTTTAATGGTAGGTTTATTTGAACAGTGAGAGACAGAATAACAACAACAACATACAGAAAAACGCATGTCAAAAATGTTATAAATTGATTTGCATTTTAATGAGGGAAATAAGTATTTGACCCCTCTGCAAAACATGACTTAGTACTTGGTGGCAAAACCCTTGTTGGCAATCACAGAGGTCAGACGTTTCTTGTAGTTGGCCACCAGGTTTGCACACATCTCAGGAGGGATTTTGTCCCACTCCTCTTTGCAGATCTTCTCCAAGTCATTAAGGTTTCGAGGCTGACGTTTGGCAACTCGAACCTTCAGCTCCCTCCACAGATTTTCTATGGGATTAAGGTCTGGAGATTTGCTAGGCCACTCCAGGACCTTAATGTGCTTCTTCTTGAGCCACTCCTTTGTTGCCTTGGCCGTGTGTTTTGGGTCATTGTCATGCTGCAATACCCATCCACGACCCATTTTCAATGCCCTGGCTGAGGGAAGGAGGTTCTCACCCAAGATTTGACGGTACATGGCCCCGTCCATCGTCCCTTTGATGCAGTGAAGTTGTCTTGTCCCCTTAGCAGAAAAACACCCCCAAAGCATAATGTTTCCACCTCCATGTTTGACTGTGGGGATGGTTTTCTTGGGGTCATAAGCAGCATTCCACCTCCTCCAAACACGGCGAGTTGAGTTGATGCCAAAGAGCTCCATTTTGGCCTCATCTGACCACAACACTTTCACCCAGTTGTCCTCTGAATCAATCAGATGTTCATTGGCAAACGTCAGATGGGCATGTATAAGTGCTTTTTTGAGCAGGGGGACCTTGCGAGCGCTGCAGGATTTTAGTCCTTCACGGCATAGTGTGTTACCAATTGTTTTCTTGGTGACTATGGTCCCAGCTGCCTTGAAATAATTGACAAGATCCTCCCATGTATGTCTGCGCTAATTCCTTACCGTTCTCATGATCATTGCAACTCCACGAGGTGAGATCTTGCATGAAGCCCTAGGCCGAGGGAGATTGACAGTTATTTTGTGTTTCTTCCATTTGCGAATAATCGCACCAACTGTTCTTGGCAATGGTCTTGTAGCCCATTCCAGCCTTGTGTAGGTCTACAATCTTGTCCCTGACATCCTTGGAGAGCTCTTTGGTCTTGGCCATGGTGGAGAGTTTGGAATCTGATTGATTGATTGCTTCTGTGGACAGGTGTCTTTAATACAGGTAACAAGCTGAGATTAGGAGCACTCCCTTTAAGAGTGTGCTCCTAATCTCAGCTCGTTACCTGTATAAAAGACACCTGGGAGCCAGTAATCTCTCTGATTGAGAGGGGGTCAAATACTTATTTCCCTCATTAAAATGCAAATCAATTTATAACATTTTGACATGCATTTTTCTGGATTTTTTTGTTGTGATTCTGTCTCTCACTGTTCAAATAAACCTACCATTAAAATTATAAACTGATCCTTTCTTTGTCAGTGGGTAAACGTACAAAATCAGTAGGGGATCAAATACTTTTTCCCTCTGTAAACAGATACTCTTTTTTCACCGACGTGACTTTACCAAAAGAACCAAAGAGTATGGACCCTTGCGGTCACGAAAACTTCCAATCTAGAATATAAACAGATATCTATTTAATAGCAATATATTGGGGGGGGGGGGGGCATTTTGAGCATATTTGAATATTGGGGGGGATGTGTCCCTCTATATATTATAATTACGGCCTTGGTGTATTCACAACACCGCTCTGTGCACAACACAGGCGGTTTGATCACGACGACGATGACGACGTGTGACATTGTAAGCCATTACGGCCAGATAGCATTGCCACCTGTCCCGCTCCCCCCCCCCCCCGACCCTAGGATCATCAATCTTGTAGTTTTTCCTCCCCCTCTTCTGGGAACGTTGAGATCATTCTCTTTGGTGGTGGTGGTGGTGGTGAGGGGAAGACCAAACTCGTCCAGGGATCACCTGTTTTTATTCCCACCGTATGCACGAGCGGCACCTTTTTGTCTGCAAGCCCCACGCGCGCCCTGCCCCATTCTCGTCGCGCTTTGTGTTCTCGTTGTTTAACACAGAGGGAGGTGAAATCAACGGTGACGTTAATATTCACAACTGTCATGCCCCGTCAACCCATGCGGTTTAACGCCGTTTTGTTGTACAGGCAATTTGAGTTTTCAGGTCCATATACGGCGCACGGCCGTTTAAATACGGGCAACATTTTTTTTCGTCTTTTTGCGTTTCTCCCTTGTGGTGAGACTTTGTCGGATGAACGTTGAGATTTATAAAGGCACGGGGTGACCAATAAGGTCTGAACTGGTCTGTAATAAGGTAGGGCACTGATCAGGGGTTGACAGGTATATAGTGGTGAGTGTACTGGTGAGTGTACTAGTGTTGAGTGTAGCAGTGGTGATTATCTGTGTTTCTCCCTCGTGATGGGACTTTGTAGGACGAACGTCGAGATTTATAAGGGGCACACGGGGGCGACCGACACCGTCTGAATTGGCCTGCAATAAGGTAGAGGTCACCGACGAGGGTGGCTGACAGGCCATGTCAGTCACCGCGTTCAGTCCGCAACGGACGCTCGACGTCCTCACCCGCAGTTGATCCAGGCGACGGTGGCAGCTCCAGCGACGGCGTCGGCCACTCGCTCCAGGAGGACGAGCGTATCCTGCGCCGCAAGTGCTGCCGCGTGAGCCCAATAGGAAAGAGAAATATCTCAGGAATAACGTAAAAAACACACACACACAAAGACGCGTAACTGTGTCGGCCCATGCGGATTAGCCCGTATTCTTGTGCAGGATAAAATTGGGTTTTTTTCTTCAGATCCACACGGCGTGCAGCCGTTTCAATACGGCGACAACAACAATTTCTTGGTCTATTTGTTTGTGTTTCTTCCCTCGTGATGGGACTTTTGCTGAATGAACGTTGAGATTTATGAGGGTCTAAATTGGTCTGTAATGAGGTAGGCACTGACAAAGTCCTACAAAGTCCCATCACAAGTGAGAAACACAAACAAATAGACAAAACCCTTTTTTTTTTGCCCGTATTGAAACGGCTGTACGCCGCATGGACCTGAAAACTCAATTTCCCTGCACAAGAACACGGGGTAAACCGTATGGGGTTGACAGCTTTGCCGTAGTGTGTTGGGGAGCAAGCCCGAAACTTTGTACGATTCGAATACCATGATCGTGTTCGCTGATGATTACAACAACAACCAACTTCATCAGTACGATTAGCCAGAATTGTCGTGAAACTGACAAGGGTTTTTGTTGGGTTATATCGCGATGTCGGCTGCTTTAACACTGAAGTATTGGTGGTGGTCAGGAGGTGGCAGTAAACGCATCGAGTTTCTTGAATTGATATTTGTATGGAACTGTGAGCGATGCTCACGTCATTATTATCCAATCATAGGGGCGTCGACGTAGCCTATCCAAAAAGTGTCTAGTTGACAGTAGCAGTAGTACTATCGTCGCAATAAGTATCATTGCCGTCGTAAAATTGTTTCTTCCCATGTGCTCTTCTGTGGGTATCTGCTGGCAATGTTTTGTCCCCACGCCTAAATGTATTGATGAAGCACTGTTAGAGCCTGCGAGGCCTGAGGTTTGGGTTGGCAGAATTCATACCTGTCAACCCCTTGTCAGTGCCCTACCTTATTACAGACCAATTCAGACCGTATTGGTCACCCCGTGCCCTTATAAATCTCAAAGTTCATCCCACAAAGTCCCATCACAAGGGAGAAACACAAACAAATAGACAAAATTTTGTTTTTTGCCCGTATTGAAACGGATGTACACCGTATAGATCTTAAAACTCATGGGTTGACAGCTCTGTAAATTCTAGATTGAAAGCTTTCGTGACTGCAAGGATCCATACTCTTTGGTTCTATTGGGTAAAGTCACGTAGGTAAAAAATAAAATAACAAAAATCACGACGTTTCGGCCACAACACAAGCGGCCTTCATCAGGTGAAGGGACGAGACTGTCTGATGAAGGCCGCTTGTGTTGTGGCCGAAACGTCGTGATTTTTGTTATTTTATTTTTACCTACGAGCTCTGTAAATGTATTGATGAAGCGCTGTTAGACCCTCGGAGGCCTGAGTTTTGGGTTGGCAGAATGATATATTTGCATCTTAATTTTGGCAGCAAATGTCATTTGCCTACATTTCTGTCAAACAGCAACAAAACCGCATCTTTCTCCCAATAGATAAATCGGAAACCTTGTTGTGATCATGCCCGAACGGCTGTTTTATGATTCGTGGGGACTTCCTTTCCCAGCAGTGGGGGCAGAAGGGAAGGGCATGAACGGGTCAAGGCTGAGGCGACATCTCGGATGTTAAGTATGGAAAACTTAGCATATTCTGCGCGGAGATGCTTTAGCGGAGGGGACAGGTAATTAAAGCAGCTGCACCATAAACGGCTGTGACAAACGACGATGAAAATTCGCTAACAATGTCCACGATTATGATGATGATCATAATAATGATGACGACGATGAGTTTACCCGAGGTTGCGTAGAGCACAAGGAGGTTGTTGCGAGAGCGGATGAGCTGACGCAAGCTCTGAATGTCGGTCACTTTCTCCACGGCGGATGCGTTGGCGGGCTCGACGCTGTGAGAGAGAACCTGCGTGTTTTGGGGAGGGTTTGTTTTAGGGTGAGGAGAACAGAGCTCGGTGAGACCATGTGTGGGGGGGAGGGGGAAATAGGAAAAAACACTTTTCAGTAAGCACCGCAGATGCGCTGCAGCGGCATTTTCTGTCTTCTGCTTTTACGCTGACACTTTTGTATAAATATTTAGTTCGTAACATGCGGCTACAATTTTTGTTTCTCTTTAAAACTGTATTCACGCAAACATCTGTAACTGAGCCGTATATATTGCACAGCACGTAAGGTCTCTTAAGACTGGTAACTGGTAGCAGGTTTTTTTTCCGCTTCTGATTCATGCTCAAAGAATCGATTTTAGAGTAAATGATGATTTGATTAATTCCTCCCCCTACGTTCTACTGCCCCTGGAGAAACAATCGCAATGCCAATGATGGTCATGGGGCTGAGTAGTCTGGCCTCAGATTTTGAACTCAGAACCATCATGACTGCTCTCGTGCCTTAACAACTGAACTTTCTTCAATTCATATAGACTAGACCACAATTGATAGAAAATTAACTATTAAAGGCTGTTTAATATTGCATAACTGCAGATATGACATAGAGCTTGTTTGAATCGCGAATAGATCAAATCGTGCATACTGTATTCATCCATAAAAAAAGTTTTATTGGGTTAGATCGCGTAAATATATAAATGTGTCGTTAAACCCGCGACCACCCGACACAGGCAACTAGTAAGGGTTGTCACGTAAACAGAACATGACAATTCGTCACTAGTACAGCAACACCGGTGTGTTGGAGAGCCAAGCCACAACATTTACAATCTGAATACTGTATTCAGCTTTGCAAGTTCTAATTTGTATGGATATCCACAGACCTGCATCTGGACTTCAGTGGTCCATTGGTGTCAGATTTGAACTCGAGCTCTGTCCGTACCTGTCCACGCCATTTACCTCCTCCCCTCGATGGTTATGTGCCTACTTAAGCTCATCGAGACGACGGGGACCTTTTAGACTGACGACGAATGCCATCTCCTTGCTGTAGTCGAAAAATCTCAACTCCTGAACATCTTTCCGTGAAAGAGAGCCGCATAGCTCATCGCATTCTTCCAGGATCAAATAAAAAAAATCTGATTCAAGTGTTAAATTAAAAATACTGGCGTGCCACAACCTGTTGCCGTGTCTACTAATTATTCCCAGCCACCATACGTGTATTCATCAGATTTCACGAGGGTTGGATTCGGCCTGTACTTAAATGGAAAGCCACCGAAAAGGGTATATTGTTCTATAGGTATTGGCATAAGCATCAAATGGAATCTCCCTCTGCAAGAGGCTCAGTAAGATCACTCCTCCCTGAGATGAAGTACTAGACAACCTCTCTTCAGGGCACAATGGGATACTATTTGTCTACCTGGGCTTAATAGGAGACCCCTCCCCTTAGTTCAAGCAGAATGCTACAGGTCTGTAATTGAGGGCTAATATTATAATAACGTTATAATAATAATGAAGGATACCTGCACGAAATTCAGCGGCACTTCAGGCATTGAATAGCTGAAGAAGCTCTCGGGCACGCGGAGTGAAACGTCGGACATCGTGCCGGACAACACGCGGTCCCAGCCCGAAGGGGCATTTGGAGAGCTACCACAGCACAACCGCGAATCCCAACGCAGCAGAAAACCCATCCCTCTGTGCGTCCACTCACCGGGAGGAAGCAGCACAGCAGCAGCAGCAGCAGCCGCCGCCGTTCTCTCCAGCTGCTTCTGGGTCTGTGAGACGTGGCCATGTCTTTCGTTTGCTCGTCCGATCGTCCTCCGGTCACAGGTGCCCACGCAGGCCTCCGGGCGGGTGTGGGCGGATGTGGGAGGGTCGATTGCACGTACGCACGTTGAACTTCTGTCGCACCGTACGCGGCCAACCGCGCTGAATCGGAGCTGCGGGGGAAGGACCAGAAACTAAACACAAAAAAGCAGTTTTGCATAAATGAGTTTTCAATCGAGGTTTAAAAGTGCATAGCTCCAGTGGCTTCCGAATATCGGAAGGAAGAGCGGTTCCAGACGGCCGCAGAAGCGCATCCGAAAGCGCACGATGCGGTGACCGTCTTTGTTCGATGGCTGGCCAAACCCGCTTGCGCAGATGATCGACGTTCGCGTGATTGTGGGGCCTCTTGGGCCGGTGGGCGCGTTGAGGTTGGTGGTCCTTAATTTTTTTGACAGTCGTCTTGTGTCTCCTTGGAGATAGAGAGAGCGAGCGCTTTGCCGACATTTCACGTGTCGCTATCGACCATGTCCGACCCGGCCATCCACACCACCCCCAAACAGCATCCACCCTGGCCCAGGCACAGTGGTACATTCCACCGTTGCAGTGGAGTTGGGGAATGGAACTATGCAAGTTAACACTATGGTGGAGGGTGGGGGCTTTAAGGATGCGTTATTGACTTGGGACTGGTGGAGACACTTGAAGGCCGGTTAAGCTGCACGTGCCATGAAGCACTCTTGAACATCGGCATGAGAGTGCAACAGAATCCCGGATAAAGACAAATACGGTACAGGCAAAAACAGACGGACAGACAAATGAACAGAGAAACAGAGACCCACAGGCAGATAGACTGATTAAAAGAGAGACATTCTACCAATAATACTGTAGAATGAAAAAAGAGATAAAATTGAGATAGCTTCATGGCGAGGTGGTCTGCACGCTCACCACTGAGCCACGCTGCACAGAACAACAACTTTTATTTTATAAACCACCCAGTTTGTATTTCAGTGAATTAACAATGTTCAATCTCCTTTAAAGCAGACATCAAAGAGTCCATGATTTCAGGTGCCCAGATTGCTCAGGGGTCAGACCACTGAGCTGTCAATGCTGAGACGCTGGGTTTGTAACTGGGACATCCGTCCGTGATTAAACCGGGGTTACAAGCGTTGCATTATATATGGTCTCAGCCTCGTCACCAATGACTTTACACACACACTTGAAAACAAATCTTTGTATCAAATTAGGGTTTGTTTCCACTTAATTAAGCTAAATAATAGGTCTGAGAATTAAAATAAAACTTAATTTTCCAATGCGCCAAACATTTCTCTGTAACAGGGCGTGTTAGAAAATGTCACTTGAATGGATCTCAGAAGTCGTTCTATGAATCCTTGTTTCAGGGACAGTTCTCGAATGCACGATGTATATGCACTGCTCCGCAAGCATTCCGAATTTATTCTTCATCCTATAACCTGATGCCGATGAGGCAATTGGAACAAAACTGAGAAAACGACAAATAATTCTTAAAATCCATGTTGTTTAATCATCAGTGTGCATAGGATGTTGTGTGACAATGCCAGAGTACCTATCTCGCAAATAGGATATTGACCACGTCTCAAGTTGAATCCACAAATTAAATTACTCTGTGTGTGTTTGTTTATTTATTTACAATCCTATGGATATTACTAACATTCACAGCACTTTGTAAATCCACTGCTGGATAAAGACCTCCCACACTCTTGTCGGTCATGGGTTTTATTTTCGTATCATACTTCCCCAAAGCTGGTCAGTGCAGGAATTTTTTTAAATGTTTATAATGCCTCTTTGAAGGAAGCACTGGCGGGCACATTGCTACGTCGCCGATGACGACGACGGCGACATCGTGATATTGCATATCGGCACGTAGCCGGGGTTACCTTTTATGAGGTTCTCCAAGCCTTCCCTCGTAAAATATAGCGAACCTTTACTGTGATCGGCGTTCACTTGGTTAAAGACAGCGATTACGGACACTGAACTCGAGCTGACATACAGGGGAGGGGTGGAGTTATAGGAGCAGGGGAGGGGGGCAAAAACGGAAAGAAAAAAAGCAGAGAAAGTGTCAAAGTTGTTAGAGCAGCAGAGAGAGAGAGAGAGAGCAATTGTCACGGCGCGTAGGCGTGGAGTTTAAGGTAGGGCTTTGGGAAAGAGAGAGAGGGGGACGAGACAATTTGGGAGAGAAGGGCTCGGACGGACACGTGTAAGGTGGGTAGTGGCTGCGTGCTCTAACTCCTGGAGGGCCTTGGTGGGCCTCTTGAACGTGCCAGCTGTCGGGAGAGGCCCTCGTTCTGAGGGTCGGCGGTAAGGGTTAGGGTTGAGGTGGGTTGGGGGGGTATCTCAATCGATGTGACAGTTTGTCGCGGTGGCAGACATCGTGATGACTCAATGCGGAGGTCAAATTATCCATGGACAATACGGTATCGTGTGTTGAGCAGCATCATCATTGCTGTTTTATTTTTTGGAACGATGGGTCGCGGCGACACGGCGTTTGACGCACCGCACTTTGGACCCAGTGAGCCCAGTTTGATTCCTGGTCACGACTAACGCAAGTGGTGACTAACTGTATATTTAAAGTGATCCTGGGACCTCTCTACTCCAACCCACACTGACCAGCATGGTGAAGTATGGTCAAACAACCCCTATGACCACCACGGTGTGGGGAGGCCTTCATCTGACGGTGGATTGACAAAAGTCTCCAATTATTATTATGAATGCAGAGTTATACTTCCTATTGTTTGAGTTGTCAACGCTTAATCATTGTTGGATGATTGCGTAAAGTACACACTCCATTGTGATGGCATTTATATTTATTTTTACACATTGAAAAATGCTTCTTCACTGGTAGAACACAATTTGTTTGTGTTAATTTGCTCCATTTTGCTCGACAAAAGGGGTCGCAGCCGCAGACCTTAGCCCTCTTGTACTGTATATGTTTCTGCAGTTGTTAGGCATGGGTAATGATGTTTGTAAGAATATCTAAATGTGGTACTCGCGAAGCCGGTTAGGAAGACAAATGGACGCACGGTAACATATGACATCGTAAACCCTGCAGAAAAGTATAACGTTGTCTATAAAGATGTCTCTTCTTGTAGTAGACATTTACTCATTGCTCGTTTGGACTACTTCCAATGTAAATTTTGATTTAAAGCTTTCGTGACTGCAGTAATTCATATTCTTAGTTTTTTCGGTAAAGTCACGTTGAAGAGAAACAACAAAATATATATAAAACAATAAAAAAATTCTCACGACGTTTCGACCATAACTCAAACGGTCATCATCAGGTGTGTTGGTTTGCATAAATGTATTTTTAAACGGCACATTTATTTATTTATAAAAAACGTTGGCGTCACGCGCAGCGATTGGCAGTTTGCCCAGGACTAGTCCATCTATTTTTTTTTACTGTATTACTATATACACACACAAGTCCTACATTGCCTTCTTGAAAGAAAACAAAAACTGGTGGAGCACTTTTTTTCTAAAGGACGAGAACACCCACCAGACAGAAAAGTGTGTGCAGATGTGGAAACAAATTGTGTTCTTAAATGTTATTCACCGGAGTTGAAATCCCCAAGTGCAGAGTTGTGTATTATCGTGGCCCAAAATATTGCAGGCAAGTAATTGGCGTAGATGTTACAGAACTGGTGATGGAGGTTATCAGATTATGTTTTGTACTCGTGATTCAGTCCATGTATTTTTAATAACGTTGTGCAAGTTACTAGTTGCGCTGTGAGTTATGTGTGCCTATGTAGCTGTGTGCGTACGGTGCAAAAGAAGTTCAACATACATACATTCTATGAATGTTCGATTACCGGTCATGGCTAAGATCAATGGTCATGACAGGACCGGTTCTGTGCCTCCTCTGGGTCAGCTCAGCCTTTAATGAGTACCTGGTGTGATGTGTAACAATCTCCAATGAGGACACGAAGGCGATAGGAAGTGATGTTGACCGCACCAACATCGCTGTGACAGCCTTAACATCTGCTCGCCTATAGCCCTTGCCCCAATGGACTGCATAACTATGTAGGGGATCTTTATCTTTTGTGGGCGATAGGACATAAAAACTGTTGGCATTAGTAAAGAGTAAATGATTGGCCAGGTTTATGGCCCCTGTACTGCTATGATGTATTGTGTTTGTGTTTCTCTATGTGTGTGAGAGAGGGGGATGCCATAGGTTCATGTGTTTTCAGTGTCATTTCTGGCCTGTGTTTGAGTCTGTGTGCGAATTTGCAGGAGCGTCCTTTATTTCATTTGTGCCTTCGTGTGACTGAGTCAATCTGTCTGTGCCTCTGTTGGCTTGTCAGGTCTTCTGTCAGATGGTCTGTCGGTCATTCTAAATAGTGGAGCGATACAATCAGGAGATGGAGCGATGAAATCAGCTCGTGTGCAGCTACTCGGTGGATTATTGTAGCACAGAATCGTGAGATCTGGTGGTGGTTTGTGGATGCCTTCGTTCAGCAGAGGATTGATCATGGCTGAATTATGATTATGTAATCATAATATAAAGCCTCTATGTCAATCCACTAGGCGGATGAAGTCCTCCCCATGCGGTGTCAGTCATGGGGATCGTTGAACCATACTTCGTCCGTGTGTTAGTGACGGTGTTACTCAGGGCCAGTTCAGATATCACTCGCCGCTGATGTTTTATGTTGGCCATGGCTGGGTTCGTAGTGTAATTCAATGCCCATTGTGCCACCGCTTTACTCTATGGCCTCTTGGTGCAGCAGCCCTTTTGCCCACTTCAGCAATTGTTTATTGCTGTGGTTGTCCCACCTGATGACGGACGCTTGTGTTGCACCCGAAACGTCCTGATTTAATTAATTTTATTTTCTACCTACGTGACTTTACCGAAAGAACCAAAGAGTATGGATCCCTGCAGTCACGAAAACTTCAAATCTAGATTGAATACTGTCAGTCATTTTGCGTGTAAACACACAGCTTAAGTTCGTACCTCTTCCTCCCTGGATCAATTACAGAAAATCATGCAAAGCAGTGGTTCTTCTTTCGTACGGCTGATGTAGACGCAGAGCAACAAACCTAAATATCACATTGAGGATGGTCAAGGCGGAATACCGCGTCAGGAGTAGCGGAGTGTATCGCCGTGATGATGTCTCCTTCGTATTTGTGAATCGGGGCGTTGCGTCGTTTGTACGTTGCTACGGTCTGTTCTGGACGTCCCACAGTCGCACACTGCCTGAAGAGTTTTTAATTTTCCATTTGTGCATCAGGTATCCGCATCTGCAGCCATCGTGTGTCGATCGAGGAGGATGCCACCCAAAAGCGGACAGCTCTTGTGGCCACTTATTTCGGCAACGTTTCCCGTGCCATCCCACACGAGATTGAGATGTCATTATTAAAGAAAACGAAATACTTCGGCATTGAGAGTCAAAGAGAACGGTTGTCGCTGTGACATTACGGGAGCGCAATGGTGGCGGTGTGCTGTATTGTCATGTTAAAGTATTTTTGTGTCTCGGTCATGAACTATGTGACCCGTATGGGACAGCCTGGGACAGGCAGCATATGGTACCATCTATGAGATAAGATAAACACTATTTGGTTTGCAAATATCAGAGAAAGAAATCATAAAAAGTGCATCAGATTCTCAAGGAAATAATTTACAAGTAGAGTAATCAATAGGGGCAGGAGCAATGGCAAAGTGGTTAGCGCACCGTGCTCTGAATCCAGTGGCCTGATTCCCGGCCACGGCTAACATAAGTTGCATGTGATATCTGGACTGGTCCGGGGCCTCTGCCTCAGCAATGTTTCGCTAACCAGCATGGTGAAGTATGACCAAACAACCCCCACGACAGGAACAGCATGGGGTGGCCTTCGGCAGTGGATTGACAAAGAGCTGATAATAATAATGATGCTTATTCTTGGAGTATATTACTGTCGATAATCATTGACAGGGCTGTCAGCGGACACCTCTTGACTACCATGCTGTATAGTACTTTAAAAGGCTTCAGAAGCAAAGAAGGCTTCAGCCTGGATAGCAGGTGTTGTAGGCATTGTCGGTAGCAGAGGGGAGTGCAGCAAAATCAGCCGTTGTATTGTACTGTCCCCCCCACATCTATGCTCCCTGCCTTCGCCAACCTGCACTGACGAACGTGGTGAAGTATGGTCACATAACCCTCACGGCCCACGTGGTGTGGGGAGGCCCTCATCCAGCGGTGGAGTGAGGTGCAACACGGTGCTTTGCAGGTGGGGTTTGGTGGCTCGTGTTGTGAGGTCAGCGTGGTGCCATGACACTCTCCTTGCTGGGCTGATGGGTATTCAGGAGCTGCCACCGCATTAAGCTGGCTACTGCATTGTCTGTTTCGAATGCCCCTCAATCGTGTCGGTCTCTGCGGACACTCGAGTTTTCTCGCACGCGCAAAACAAAAACAGTCATTAAGTTGACATTGCTGAAGGCTGGGGTAACAGTTTCATCGTGCCAAGGCCCACACTCTGGCACTCCCACGTGAGTCGCGTGCCCTTTAAACCCTCGCTCTCCACACCCCCCACCCCACCCCCGTATATGCCATCGCGCTTGCCTGCTTATGTTGGGGGCTTGGCACCTGTGCTGCGTTACGGCTGGGGCAACTGCGTTGCTGTTCAGCAGGTGATAATACTTGCAACTGCTCACCCGCAGCAACAGTGATTGTGGTTATGTTACGCCTCTGTGTGCACTGTGGTCATAAAATGTATTTTATTCAACGGAATCGTTTATGGAGGCGTGTGGTGTCTCTCTTGTCTCTATCGAATACTCTCTGAATAAAAATCTATTTTTTATTTCGCGGGGGTGGATAGCGCACTACGTTATGAACCTGGTAATCTGAGCGTGAATCCCAGCCACGACTGTCTCACTTGTTCGTAATATAACCTAAGTGGAATGCAAGCAATGCGGATTTCGTAGGGACTCACTACGATTTCTCTCAATCATTATTGTCTAAATACCTGTATGCTTTTGAGAAACTTACGAGACTTTCACATAGGTGATATTTGTTGGCAAATCGTCCTAGATGACTCCTACCTCTGTTCAAGCACCCATTCATCGCATCCTGTTTGAGCAACGAAGTCCGAGGCACCTTCCCATGACATCATCGTTTACAAATGGCTGGCCATTTAATGTTCCGAGGTGTTATATGTATTTTTTTTAAACTCAAATTCGAGGGTCAAAATTTTGGGGATTTGAGGAAGCTGACAAATTTCTAAGAGTGTCCTCGGGA